TATATATATATATATATTATAAATATATAATATGTAAAATAGGATCGAGAGGGGTAAGTGAAAGTGAATAGTAAATAGAAATGTATATATAAATATGTAAGTCTAGAGAGACGAGTGTGGAGAACGAGCATAAAGAAGAAGGAACGAGGCGCTGCGCATTGGCCGAGCATAAATTACAATGGGTATGTATATTTTATATGTGTATATATATATATATATATATATATAGATAGATATATATCATACATATTTATATGTATGTATGTACACGTGTGTATATATATATATATAAATATATATATACACATATCACACGTATGTCCCTTAACGACAATCGGTGGGTGGTAGGTTAGATTTTTGGAGGCTACAGCATTCAAAAGGGAGTATATATCTTGTGTATTTGTTGGCACGTTTTTTTTTTTTTTTTTTTTTGATTTCGCTGGAACGTCTCGTCGTTTCAGAGTAGCATACACAAAACGCCTGTATGGGCTCAACGAGACGACGGCTTCCTTTCTCTCTCGTACACTCTGTTTCTTTTTTCATAAATACATGTATATGTATATTGCATATATATATTGTGTGTGTGTATATATACATATGATACGCATATGTATACATATCTTTCTGACATTTTTTTTTTTTTTTTTTTTTTTTTCTATTTGTCACAGGTCAACGCGTGACTCAAGTAGAGGTCTCGTTTTCTAAAGCCCGTAGAAACACGGTGCGCATCGTGTTTCGATATGTTTTTCGCCTACACGGCCTTTACTGTGCCGACAAATTCGTTTCGAATTGCACGAAAAAAGGAAACGATTATTATTATTATTATCATTATCATTATTATCATTATTTTTATTATTATAATTATTGTTATTAGTAATGGTAGCAGTGGTAGTAATAGTAGTAGTAGTAGTAATAGTAAAACTAGTAGTAGTAATAGTAGTAGTAGTAGTAGTAGTAGTAGTAGTAGTAGTAGTAGTAGTAGTAGTAATAGTACTAGTAGTAGTGTAGTAGTGTAGTAATAGTAATAGTACTAGTAGTAGTGTAGTAGTGTAGTAATAGTAGTAGTAGTAGTAGTAGTAGTAGTAGTAGTAGTAGTAATAGTAGTAGTAGTAGTAATAGTAGTAGTAGTAGTAATAGTAGTAGTAGTAGTAGTAGTAGTAGTAATAGTAGTACTAGTAGTAATAATAAAACTAGTAAATAGTAGTAGTGGTAGTAGTGGTAGTTGCAATAATAGTAGTAGTAGTAGTAATAATTGTAGTATTGTTCTTTTTCTTTTTTTTTTTTTTTTATTGTGATATCTCTAACAGGTCAACTTTAGAAACGCGTGACACGTATAAAACTCCTGGGAGCTTATTCACCTGCTCCAGATACGAATCACAAATATTGTTTGATACAATACTCAGCGAGATTTGTTGACCTTAATTCCATGTAAGGATGCTAGCTCAGGCGGTGTATCCTCGAGTTAACATCTTAACAAATTGCACTCGTCAACAAATGCATCGACTCGAGTCTCCAAATTCTTTTTTTTCTTTTTTTACTTTC